TTTCTGAGATCGCTTTTTCCAACAAATTAGACAATATTTCGCCAGGGAGTGCAGTAATAGATAGGCAGTGCTGGCAGTTTGTAGGACTTAGCAACAGTAACTTAGGGGGGCGGGGCTTAGCAGAGGGTCAACTGCCCACAAGGATTACATTGCAGCCCTGCCTCACTGCTACCGACTGCAGCGCGCTCGCTGAATACTGGACCAATTAAAAATAATTTTCGTTCCAATTGGGGAAAAGGTCCAGGTTCAAAATACAGAAATGAACCTTTAAGTAACCTGGTTACAGCTTTCTCCAGTAAGCAGATTACCAAAAAACAATTTACGCTGATTTTCCCAGTTACATTTCTCCAGGAGAACACCAATTTCTTGGCAATGTACAAGGGTAACAGGATTTTTAAAATTGCCTTTTTAAATGTAGACACGTGCATCACGCGCACTTTAGTCAGAGAAAGTTACTGCAGAGCATGTAGATGAAAGGAGAGAGAACTTCACATAGGACTGGCCAATAAAACAATAATTATTGCAATATAGTTTTCATCAATAACAATATAACAAATGTTAAATAAATGTTTGATTTAATTAATTTGAATCACGAACAAATTAGCACTTAATTTTTCTATTAATATATTTATTTTGTTGAGAAAAAGGGACTGAAAAATGATTTTACTTATTTTCACTCATGCATATTTGTTGAAAAAACATTTTATCATAATTGTTTTCAGTGTTCTACCTCATAATTCAAGTGCAGGCATGCAAACTGAACAGGGGTGAAAAAGGTGAGGACACACAAACAGAGAAACACACAGAGACAGTATAAGAGCAGTCTGTTTAAGCTTTCATGTTGTATGGATAGAAAGTGCAATTGTCTAATGCAGCCAGAGAAATATAACAACGTGCAAGGGCGTCACATTGGGGTGTGACAATACACTTAGCTCACGAGAAGAGATGATACACGATATTGATGAGAACAATATTTTAACACTACTGTATAGAAATCATTAACGCTGAAATATATGGTCCTCTTGTTGAAAGCTATTGAGAACATTTTTAACAAATGCTTTCAAAAAGTGATGGTGACAAAATCAGCCATTTCAAAAAGGGGATGGGGATATGACCCCAGTGTCCCCAGTGTAAACAACACCAATGAGGACACCTCTATATCCTGTTGACGTTAGCTTATCTTACATGTAAGTTATTATTGGGCAAAGTTATAAAATTGGCAACATTACTGTATGGGCCAGGTAAGTTAATATTGTAAGCTGGCTAACTTCTGTCTTATATCAGACTTACAGTTCGTTCACTAGATCAACAGTAACGTCCTCACGTGTTCAGCTGACTCATCCGCGGTGTAGGGGACTTCAATAATCCCGCCCTACTCTGACTCTGATTGGCTGTCAAGTTTATCCTTTAGGAGTGAAGATTGTTTTAGGCACATGCAGCTGTAAAGTTGCAAAGCTCATGCCAGAGTAGACTCGGTTGCTAACCGACCGACGAAACGACGCCCCCACCCCCCAATATTTTCTCATCGGATCTGCACAAATCATGTAGGTGACCCATTTGGGTTTCATAACAGCAAATTTCGCCTAAAAGGTGAGCTTGCTTACCTGGAAGTGATCCACTGTCACTGTTTGATAGTATTTGTCATTTTCTGATCATTAAAATAGTTTAAAACCACAATTAACCATCTGGTTTCTTCTACTTTCGCTCATGAACAAAAATCTGCTTTAAACTTAGAAATAATGAGTTGACTTTATTGTGATAATTATGGACAGAATGAGATGACATTTTTTATCGTGATGCCATTTTTGGCCATATCGCCCAGCCCTAACTTCACATGATGATGCATCTTCATTTGAACGCTCACTTTTAAGGGGAACATTTGTTTATTCAAAGCTTTATACATTCTCTGATCAACCCACTGCAATGTACACTCCGCTCTCTTGCTCAAGGGCACTTAATTTACACACTTCTTTGGCACAGTATGTCATTTCATTAATTATTACAGGTGGCAAGCAGTCTTTTCATGAGCACTCTCTCGCAAAATGTGAGTGAGAGTCTGTGGGGTGATGTCTAGAGTGTGCTAGAGATTAAGTATTTTGTCCAAGAACACTTAAGCCTCTCCAGTACTGTCCTCAGAACAGGACTCTGCTCAGTCAGCAAGCCCAACCATCTTCCTGCTTATGTCCCACAGTTTCTTGGCTGCCCGGTCGTCTGTAGCGTTGGCCATCAGCTCCTCCTCCTCACAGTTAGCGAAACACTTCCCCGACACTCCCTCCACCTCAGGGGAGCAGGCCAGATAAAGAGGAGTCTGGGCCCCCTCCAATGGGCTCTTGAAAAAGACTAGCGAAGCGAGGGAGAACAGCGGCTTTGCCAGGAGAGGGATTTCAACATGCCTGCCTAGTTTGGTCCTGACGATGCCCGGGGTGAGAGCATTGACTGTGACCCCCGTTCCCTCAAGCTGGTGAGCCAGCTCGAGTGTAAACAGCAGGTTGGCCAACTTGCTCTGACTGTAGCAGAAGGACTTGTCATACTTTTTTTCACTGTTCAGGTCATCAAAGTTGATTTGGCCGTACTTGTATAGCTTAGATGAAACCACAACGATGCGGCTGGGAGCCGAGGTCTTCAGGAGGTCCAGCAGGAGGTGAGTGAGGAGGAAGTGACCCAGGTGATTCACACCAAGCTGCATCTCAAAACCATCCTCTGTCTTTGCGTAGGGACACTGGTAGACGCCTGCGTTGTTAATGAGCACGTCAATCTTGGATTCCTCCTAAAAGGTCAGAAAAATTTTATTATTAAGCTTATTAACACACTCACACGAATGACTAAAATACTTTTAGGAAAGAAAGGGATTTTAGATTTTTCTTTGTTCAATCTAAAGCTACTTTAAGTAAAATACTGTATATGAATATAAGTAAGATATGAGGTTTAAGTAAATTTTAAATTGTTTGTGGTTTTATTTTTTCTTAGTGATCACTGTAATTAGCCACCTATAGCAGACAATATATTCTACATTTGTCTTACAAGTGATTCTAGCGCTGTCAGTGTGTTATGAACATATGCCGCCTTAACTGACAGACATTTACCATGTTTTCAGGACCTTGCCATTTATTAGAAACACAAATCTTATATTGAACACCCTGAGACACCCAGTGGTGATGAGAGGTAAATGTCATGGTGAAGAAAAGACAAGCTGACGTTACCAAGAGAAATATCATATTTTACAGAAATACTGCACTTGTACTCTTTCAGTACTGCGACTTACAATATCATAAGGGATATAGTAATTAGGAAGAAAAGGGTCTTGCAATGTCCTGCTCTACAGTATGTTAAAAAAACAAAGTATGTGATCAAGCATTAACACAGAGATGGCTTCAACAGTGAGGCAAATTAAAAACTCCCATTTATATATTGAACCGCAATAAACAGTCAGTTAAATTATTTCTCATTTCATGTTATTATTTTAACAAGTTAAGTACTACAATCAAGGGTGCATGAATGTGACATAAGAAGGTATATGAAATAATATGCTTAACATATTTCTCATGGAAAGAGCTCTACACTAACAAATTTATCGAGAGTAAAGCTGCAATGATTTGTCTAGTCCATTCATAGATTAGTTGATCGACTGAAAATGAAACTAATCAACTATTTTGATACATTGATTAATTGTTTAGGTAATTTTTCAAGCAAAATGGCAAAATATTTGATAGTTCCAGGCTCTCAAATGTAAGAATTTGCAGCTTTTCTTGGGTTCTTATATTAAGTCAATAAAATATTTCGGGATTTTTTACTTTTTGTTGGCACAAAACAAGACATGTGAACGTGTTACATTGGGCTTTAGGAAAGTGTGGTTAGCATTTGTCACTGTTGTGATTTTTTATACACCAAATTGATCAACGGAGTAAATAATTGGCAGAATAATAATTAATGATAAAAAATAATCTGATTTGTTCGGACTGAAAACTGAAAATTGATTACTTGTTGCAACAACAAAAAAAAAAGGTTCCCATATCAACATTCTGCCAGCAGAAGATTTATAGCTACACATGCTGTCAGATTTTGTAATCCTGGCTATAGACTAAAGAGGTCTGGCAACAGTAGGTTGAAGGACTGCGTTCAGCACCACGGACAGTCCCCTTGCTGCTAAAGGACCTGTAACGCTCTCCTTTTTATTGGACATGACAATAGATGGAATAAACTAGACTGCAGTCATTTAAAAGGATGAAGGACACCGTAGCTAGTAGGCCTAAGTAAACATATCAACTTACCTCATGAATTTCCTCACAGAATTGTCGGACTGATTTGAGAGAAGCGAGGTCCAGGTGTTTGATGACCACCTCCCCCTGCTCTGGTCCCGCTTGGTCCTTGATGTCCTTAGCCGCCTCCTCGGCGCTCCGCTGGTCCCGACAGGCCATGATGACCCGGGCATGGAGCTTCAGCAGCTCCCCGGCCAGGGCCTTCCCTATCCCGCAGTTAGCCCCGGTCACGATGACAGTCTTTCCTCGCATGGTGTCGGCGGGATACTGGAGCAGCTTCATGGGTTTCTGTTGAGGGAACAAACGGCGCACAAGGAGCAGTACCCCACCACCAACAACAGCAGCAATTAGCACCGCAGTGTACATGAAAGCGAGAACCCGTGACAGGTAGAAGACAAGACCTTTGTAGCACGGTTTATTATGTGTCCAAGTTATAAAACTGCCCCGGAAATACTTTCTACGCAAATATATCGAGTTAACAACAATAGATATTGTGGTTATTATATTATAATATTTGTAATATTTATAACAAACATATTTACGTTGATGAAACAAGTGGAGTGAAAGTAAATCACTCAACTAACAAACGATAAACGGTCGCAGCAATGTAGCTAATGCTAGCAGGCTAACTCAGCTAGCAGCGTAGCTACAGGCTCGGGTTTTCATTGAACTACTTCCGGGGTATTTTCGTAACCGAACTAAATGTTTCTGCTAATTGAAGCCATAAAAATACATACTTTTCATTTTTAAAGGGTTGGGCTAGTGGTCATATAAATAGTTGGCTACTTTTTAAAACTACTATAATTATTTTTCTCGCCCGAAATATTGTATTTTCATAGCCAGCCTAGTTTACCCCTTTCCATTAACCACTAGGTGGAGTTATGAACACAAAAGTGGGTCGGATATTTTGCTCACAACAAGAGGCTTGTTTCCAGGTCTGTCTGTCTGCCAGTTGGTGAAGGAGAAGTGAGAGTACAAAACTCACTATTTTGTCTCCTTTGGTTACCCACAAGGCAAGCCAATAAAAGTGGGTATATCACCCATATGGATTATTGATTATTGATAAAGTCAGAAAATGTGCTCATTGACGTTGTATGAAGTTGTTTTTGAGCATTTAGGCTACAGTAAGGCCGGTAGTAGAGAAGCCCTTAAGTAAAACTGCTAACTTGAAGAGGCAGGGCAGGTGGTTTTTTGCAGTGATATGATCAGATGGCTTGTTAGGAGGTCACTTAAATGCATAAGAATTAGTACAGTGACTCACTCAGTTTATATCGACTATACTCTTCTCTGAATGCTCCCTTCGCCCTTCCTTACATTGTTGCATAGGTGATCCCAGATACGTGCCCTGCAGTTTAAGGTTCTGAGTTAATCCACTTTTTGGGGGGATTGGGACAGCAAAACCAGGGTGCAAAATTAGCACCAGCCACCAGCCAATTTTGCACCTTGAGCAGATTTGTCTTCTATTTTAGAATAGGACAGTCATAATGATCCTGTGTTTGCCTTGCCTTTATCATATTCCCATTTAACTGTTGCATATCCTATCCTTATGCAATCCTAGACATGCAGATATGCTCCAGGGAATTAGGATTTATTGTCTGACAGTCGCGTGTGATTCATAACTTCGTCATAGCATTTGTTTACGGAGAGATTTAACGTCTGTCACGTTGCTTCGAGAATAAACAGACAAACGCTATCACTCGTTACAAGCTGTCGACAAATAACTTCACTTCCTCTTAGATCGCGGTGTTTCCAGTTGGGTAATACCTCCCGTTTATTTCAGGGTTTGCTTCAGTTCCTGTTACTTAATAGCTAAACTACAGAGTTAGTGAGGAAAATGCGGCTCATTGTAGCGTAAAGTCTGCCATTTCAGACACAGTTTAGCCGATATTAATTATTTTATCTTGTGCAGCTGAACGGAACACAGCTGTAAATCTATTTTAAGGCAATTTCTGGTAATCAGATAAAAGAAATGTATCCCTTTCCAGCACTACTTATCCTGGTTGTAATCCCTTCCATTTCTGATGGTAAGTACATTTTTTATGTTTGATATTTATTGTAGTAAGTGAGGAATGATGTCGAGCTGCTGACTGGTCAGATACATTTCTGGGAAATGGTTGTTTTGTTTTGGTTTCATAACATAGTCTTCACTATTGTTAATATGGGCTAATAAAAAGGGACCAGTATCATGTCTTGAATGTCACTAATAATAATTGCAATTTGTCAGAAATATAATCTATTATCTATTATTATTTTAAATTTACTGTAAATTTACATCAACTGCATTAAAATTTATTGTATTTTCTATACTGCTTTATCTCACAGGTGATAATTCTTATCAAAGAATATATTATTTAGAACTATGAGTTCTTAGATTTGAAATTTAAATATGGTATTTCTTATTTCATAACAATAACAAGTGTGGCTCTAACAATACAATACAATACAATAACAATGTTAATCGTTTTAGATGTTTAAAAAACTACAACCAGACAATTGTGAGATCCTGTCATAGTGGAATGGCAGTAGATCTGAATCCACTTTATCCATGAGTAAAAATTGTCTACATCTTTTCTGTAGGACCTATTATACAAATTCATTACTGGAAGAAGCCCTTAACAAAAAATTAAATAGAATTTTTTTATGATTGTTGGAATGTTTCACCTGTTCTTGAGTTGGTTGTGGGGAATCAATTACAAATGAATCAAAAAAAATGTGGCATTATGTATTGTAACTTTAGATCTATGATCACACCCGGTGCCCGCAACTGGAAAATACCGGTAGCATTGGTTGCACTTTAATATGAATAATGTTTATTGTTATGAGCTTTTAGTTGCAAATGAAGGACAGAAGCCTTTTCAAAACACCATTAATTTTATATCTACTTATTTGTGCCTGTTGCTGCTTTACAAGATGTTAAACTTAATAAACTACAAGGTAAGTGCAAACGTCCTTGGTCATACAAAGCCTTGTGAATTCTGTGTTCCTGTCACACGCTATCGAAACAATTGCAGACAGTATTGAGACAGTTTGTGAGTTTATTTTTAACAATATCATGACCTCACCAATGATGATGCCCTGTGGTTGGTGGCGTGCTGCTGTCCAGTTTTCTGCTGGAGCTCCCTTCCAGGCAATTGTGGGAATGGGAATTTACTGCACGTTAGCTTGGGTCAGACCTGGGTCAGTTGAATCCATTTTTTATGCTGTAATTTTGTGTTAAGTTGTTATCAGGGCAAATTGATAGTCTCAATGTATGTGTGGTCACGGAGAGCACTGAAGGAATGAACAATTTTTAAAAGGCTCATTATGTTCAACTTTTAGCAGTCGTTTATCTCTAGCCCAGTCTATGCCTCTTATTTGTTATCATTACTCTCAAGTCACAATACTAAGGTTCAGATTTTTTGAAGGGCATATATTCAACAATTTAAAAAAAAAAAAAAAAACGAGATAAGATTTCCAGAATTTTCAAGGATGCTTTCACACCCACCCTGTTTGGTTTGGTTAACATAACCTGGAGCGTTTAGTGCGGTTTGTTTGGGCTAATGTGAAAGCTGTCAGTCGAACTCTTATGTGGTCTAAATCGAACTGAGACATCTTGAAAAGGAGGGTCTCGGTTCGGATCCAAGAGGATTCTGGTGCCGTTCGTTTGCTGTGTGAAAACAAACAGACCAAATACTGTTCATTAAATCGAATAAAAAGTGTGTGACAAAACCCCTGGAATGCTGTCATACAAGACTTCTGTTTTTCTACCTGTTAGTCATGCAGTCGATTTGGCGTCTAATAACACTAATAATGCTTATAATCAGTTATTTCTTCATGAACTCTATGTGACATCAAAGAACATAAATACATATCAGTGTTAAAGTGCAGCAATACCTGCTATCAGTCAGAATTTGATTTTCCCATTTGGGCCCTGGTAATGCGGTCATGATGCAGGACGACAATCACCAAAAGTGTCCAGTCAACGAGTTAACCATGTCAGTCTGTATGACTTCATGTTTACCCCTCTTGGTTAATTTGTAAAAAGTCAGTGTGAACCTGAACAACGTTTTTTCCCTACATGCGACTCTGTTTCATAATCCAAAAAAAAAAAATGGTAGCTGGAAGTGACATATGTCCTTGAGCAGTTTGTACAACAGAAACCAAACTGTTTTCATCCAAATGGTTGTAGTTATAACAGTTTTTAAGAATTCTGGAAAAATCTTAAGAACACCTGAAGTGTCTTTAATAGACCTTCTGAATTTTCCTGGGTATTTATATTCCAGAAAAATGGATGCTAAGCTCTGTGACTGGTAATGATAAAAATCACGAGAAGCACAAACTGGGGCCAGTTTATCTCCTCTGTAGTGTAAGAGTGTGGCGCCTATAGTTCTCTTCTGATGGATGCATAATAGTTTTCTAATGGGTTCCTCTTTGCTGTTGTATGTAATGAAGCCTGTTGCTCTGCTAATGTGTTCATAATGTAAACCGAAGTTTTTCTGTAGCTGCTTCAAGTGGAAAGCTTTCCACCTGCAACCATTTGTGAAACAGAAACAGGAAATGTTGAGTCATCAAGGTTAGTAATAAACCGCTAACTCCTTGTTTGGCCTAGATTTGGACATTCTTTGGCACTTTATTGTTGGTGGATCCATTTCTAATATCTTCTAGAGAGAAGACTGGAAGAAAAGATGCAGTCACAAGTGAACTGATAAGTCTAAAAATTAAAATAAAAGCCGATGCACCGATCAAACGCTCTCAATGCAGAATCAGATACCTCGGCTGTCTCTTCGAGATGTTTTTTTTCTTGTGCTGGATACTGGTGAAGTAAGCAGTGGCTTATTAAATTTTTCCAGCCTAGAGAATTAACACGAGAGTGGACACTGAACAATGCTGTGTGCATGGTTATTTGAATTACAAAACAAACCATCAAAAAGAGCATTGTGCTTCATGCGGTGCTGATTGTCCACGCTGTAGTTCTGTTCTGGTCTATTGAGATACAGTATCTCATCCTCTTGGAAGATAACAAATGAAGGGTTTCTGCCTGTGTGATTGTAAGAGAAGCCCTTGATCAGATTCTCACTTTTTTTAATATCAGACTTCATTGTAGTTATAGTAGAAATATTTAATTTTATTTTATGTTAAAATATTGTCTATGTTACACTGGTTATTTTTAGGAACATAAGTGTTACATTACTAGCAAATATCCTAGAATAATCTAGTTGTGCTGCATTTGAACACATATTTTCTATACAGAGTGAATACAGGTGGTTAATACTAAATTGTTTAACAATTCAGGTACAATCTGTGGAGTTTATCCTGTTTTTGTAATCTCACAAAAATTGTTTTTTCAGGAAAGCAAGATATAATTCCTAAACTCCAAAGCCTCAGAACAAGACTTGTTTTGCTTTGCTGTTTAAACTATGCGTGTGTAACCTTTATATTAAACTTTGAGCAACATGGTTGTGGATTTGACTTGTTAGTTGTAAATCATCACACCATCAGTAAATGTTACTTTTTCTAATGTAATAAATGTGGTTAAGGGGAATAGTTTTTGGAAAACATTTTGAGAAATACTACTAGGTATTTACTAGTTTGGTTGTCTTTTTTTTACCAAGCATTATATTAAAAGACAGATACCACTCTCATGTCTGTACACTAAATATGAAGCTAAAGCCAAAACAGGTTAGATTAGCTTAACATAAAGACTGAAAACAGAGGAAACATCTAGCCTTAAATTGTGAAATCCATATAATGCAGAGGTGTAAAAACAACAAATAACAGTGTGATTATTGATTAACTGAAGTGCTAGTAGGCAGAATTTGGTTTCATTGGACAGAGCCAGGTTAGCTGTCTCCAGTCTTCGGAACAATACAGTTACGAGATTGGGATCGATCTTCTCATCTAACTCTCGTCAAGAAAGCAAATAAGCGCATTTCGCATGTCCAAGTCTCTTAATGTAATGGTCTGACACTGAATAACATGATCATTTCCTGCAGGTCAGCATGAGACCACCTGCAACGTTGTCCCGAAAGATCAGTACATTGAAGTGGGGTCCGATACCGAGATAGTGTGCCAGACTTCATGTGTCCCTGGCAAAGTTTTCTGGACACTGAACAAGATACCCGTAGATGAAAGCCTGTCACACATTACCAACTCCTCACACACAGTCGTGACACTGAGGAACTTCACTCACCACATTGCTACGTTGGAATGCAGCAGTGTAGATACGAAGCAGGTCCTTGGAGGCACCACCATCAGAACGTACTGTAAGAAGTATTTTTGGGGTTATATTCTGAGAATCAATATGGTTGTAGATGCCTGCAGTAACATGAGATGTGACTTTTTTCACAGCAAAACCCGGCAAAATATCATGCATCTTGCACTATGATAAATATTCTAAGAGCGGAGTGCCACAGCTGTTAACATGCAACTGGGAGCATGAGATTGATTCTTCATTGGCTGTAAACTACACTGTACTAATGTGGGTATCACAGTTTCTTCCTTCTGTGTAAGAACTAATGCAGGAACAATAATTTTTGTCTTATTGATTTATGCACTGAATATAAAACATGTATTTCTTTCAGTGAGCCTAATCAGACAATCTGCTACTCAACCATAACAACATGCACAGCCAAAGGTTCAGTACCTCTTTGGCGAAATTCCAGTGTTACTGTTAGAGCTAGAACTACTGCTTGGGAAGCTTCCTCCAACACTTATACATTCAACCCGTATCACATAAGTAAGTACATTTAGCAGGAAAAAATAGACTTCTTATGATCTCATTGTGTTTGAACATTTAACAACATTCCTGCGTTCTTATGTATCGTCATAATAATTTTCCCACAGTGAAAATGAGCCATCCGGAGATTAAGGTGACCACCTTCTATGATCATCTATTGGTTGAGTGGAACCGGTCATCTACCTGTCAAAAAAAGTGTCACTGTCAAGTCCAATACAAAAAGGTATGTCCCTGCTTAAGCTCCTAAATGCAGCAGTTGGCCTTTAAAGTATTTATTGTAAGCAACTGTGAAAACGAATGCAACAATTTCCACGACTATGATCACAAACCAGAAAAAAAGAGAACCATTAACAATAGTTAGACCAAAGGTCAAATTAATCGGTAAAAGAACACTTAAATTGAACTGGATTCACAGAAGTATGGACTAACTCTCAAGTTACATCCTCTCTAACGCCAGGAAGAAATGCAGTATCGCACAATAAAACAGTAATCAATCTAAATAAAATATAGAGTTCGGAAGAGATTCAGACATCTAGGCTACTAGAATGAAAATATACGTTATTAAAAACAAATAATCCTAATGTTATTTTGACTTTCATAAGGGCATTCACACAACCCTGCCTCCTAGAAAATAGGTTTATATACAACATATTTGCAACAGCAACTACGTTTTCTATCTTTCTATCCATTCAGCACAGAATGAGAAAATGTTAATTCTGACATCTGGCAAATGTTGATACTGAACATCTCAGTAAAATGTTCACTGACAATGTACAGTATTTCATGTGTTTTAAACCTAAACATCAGATACAATATCCACTTGTAGTGACAACAGCATTATTTACATTTTTATGGTTATGTTTAGGCACTAGCAACAGTTGGTTGAAGTTAGAGAAAGATCATGGTGCATCGAGGCCCATTTAACCGAAACCACGATCTCTACACAAGCTTAGCCAAAGTGCTTTTGTTGCCTGAACCGAAACACTGACAGGGCTGTGCATGTGAAGCCTGTCCTACACATTGTATACCATATGACGACTTCTGTGTGTTACATAAATGTAGCGCTTCATTAACTAAAAAATACTCCTTTCTGTTCCAGGCAGTAAATGAAAGCACTCCAGAGGTAAGAGACTTGTTTTCTCTGGCACATCTTATTTCAACAAAACCAAAGCTGTGAAGTATTTTGCAAAGCACAAAATGTCTGTTTAAAATCAGCCATGGTAAATAAACATAACTTCGTATTGTGGTGAAAAATCATGTATTCAGCTTTGGACCTTCTGTGGATTTCCTTGAATTTGAATGGATGTTTCTAACTGAAATATGTCTGTTTTTCCTAGTGGGTGATCAATAAGACTCTCACCTCCGACCAGAGAGGGTCCAATGTGACCATTGAAAAATTTGAGTCCTGCAGTAACTACAAATTTGCAGCCCGCTGTGCTTTAGATAAGGCCCCTTGGAGCGAGTGGACCAATAAGACAATTCTTACCAAACTAAATAGTAAGAACAATGTCAAAACTGCTTGCATCAGCATCAGAACTGATAAAAGCAGGCTACTAAATCACCTATGTGTGTTTCGTCTGCTTAATAGCTTACTTTATTATTGTGTTTTTTAAATTGTATTTATAATAATTGTAAAGGCCTGTAGATAACATGTGAATGTGCCTAGGCCACAATAATAACCCTGATTTTCTGCTTTTAAGCACTTAAGCACAGTTTGGACGTTGATTCCTCTTGGTTAACCCTCAGGTCTAATCATCCAGATCATTTCAGTGTAATGTCTGATTAGATAATTTGAATTCTAATCAATGAAGTAAGATATACTGAAATCATTACTTATGAGGGGAGCCACACAACCTTGTGGCTTTTTCTTTGGCTGTACTGGCACAACTGAGATTCTTACTTTTTTATTTACATGTGCAAATAAACTAAATTAAACTAGATACAGATCTTGTCAGGAATAGCTCTAATCTGTTTCTTATGCACACTAACTGCCTACTAGTGAGGAAAACAAAGCATACCAGTATGACTACTCCTAATTGTATTGTATCAACTTTGGTTGATTTCCAGATGGGTTCAAAATTAAAAATAATAAAAAAATATATATCTGTTAATAAATGTCTGTATATAAAGTGCTAACTGTAACTCTTAGTAGGGAATGATGGGGCCATGCCTGCCATTTGTGCTCCTGATAAAATAACTGGTTTACAAAGTGATACTGGATTCAAATGAAAAAACCAAAATATTTATTTGCAATGTTTTGTGGAGAAATTGTGAAAGATTTAAATCAAAAAAACATTCGTGCTAGCTCTGAGAGGAATTACAGACTGGCTTGAGCATTTGAGTTGCAGGTTGGGACTTGAATGTGAATATCTTAAGATACACCTCCTACAAAGTCAAAAGTTGAGTCTGTGTGTGACATACGCTGCATAATAATAAGGCTGATAACAGATCAGATGTAGACCTTGAGACGCTAAACCATGGGTTGAGGTTACCATGAGCTCAAGGCTATTTTGCTTGGTCATGTTCTCTCTTTTTTTGGCCATAGTTTAGACCAAAACTGTTCAGTTAAGTTTCATCATAATGCTGCACCATCATATTTCTACATGTGCATTTGATTGTATTGACATATTTTAACCCTTTACAGAGAGTGACGTCAAGCTGCGCCTGTGGAGAAAAGTAGCTGAACCGGAGAAAAATGGAATTAGAAAAGTTCATGCCATGTGGGTGGTAAGGAAGCCTCTCATTGTTGCCTTTACATTGCATACTTCCTTAATTTCCAAACTCATAATTCAACTTTTAAAATTTACAACCTACATTTCCTAAGAGACATACACATCCTTTTATTGCTTACTGAGCATAAGTTCTTCAAACTGTCTACGCAGGAGATTCCTTCAACATGCCAAGGCACATTTAGCTACACTATCCAACAGACTCCTTACCCGGAAGGCACAACTGGAGTGAATAATAAAGATCATATATGTGGCAATTCAACTTGTGATGTCTATGTGAACCAAGATGCACACAGACTACATCTCACAGTCTTCGATAATGAACATCTGCTTGGGGAGGACTCTGTTTATGTTCCAGCCATTGGAGAGAGTGAGTTTTAATGCTATTGATTTTGATTTTGTAATGAGTAACCACAATTTATGGATCATATTGCTTCATTTTAATGGGGCCATGCTTTTATCTGATGCATATTAGTGATTTGGTATCAAGCAATGAGCTTATTTTCACTTGATCTCACTTGGCAGGCCTCCCTGAAGTTACTGACATCCAGACCTCAACCCTGGAAGGGGTTATTCTGGTAAGATGGAAGGCTCCGGTTCCTGTCGGTGGTTACATGATCGACTACACCCACGATGGAAATCATTACTACTGGAAGGAGAGCAAATATACTAACGCAACACTATTTGGTAGGTTAGAGAACGGACATGAAATGCTTGATGTCAGATAGAAAGATGGGTATGGATGACATTCTTTATCTGTGTTAGATTCACTACATGGAATGAGCCTTGTAGATCTGTGTCATCATCAAACCCATGCTGACTTTTGCATTATGCCTTAACTTCTTTGACCATCACATACATTTGTGGCACTCAGTCATGGATAGACTGGTGGAAATAGACTTTAAAACCTGCTTGGTAAATCATTAGTCAAGAGATCTTTTAATTTTGTAGAGTTTCTGAGAACTGTGACTCATCTCCTATGGGATATGTTACATTCTGCTCTGCTACTTTCTTGCTTCATTGTCTTTTATCAAACAAAGGAACAACTAAAGCTACCAGTATACGCCATCAGAACTGCTTGTCAGTTGGTTGAAGAGCTTCACTCCACACCTTTCTGACATTGGTTTGGGGAGGGTTCTGTCCAGCCATTTCTTTCCCAAACTGACAATCTGACATTCACACCCACTTCATGCCATAATGAAATAAAAATACTTACATCCGCACGCTACCATACTCACAGTGACAATGTTAACATATTGGTATTTAGCAGATATAATGTTTACCAACTTCCCCAACTTAGTTTAGCATGTTAGCATGCTTACATTTGATAATTCAAATTTTGACCTGATAGATGTAAAGTCAAGGATTGTGTGACATTAATGAGACATTTTACTAAAAAACAAAACTGGAGGCGTCCATGTGGCTTAGGACCATGATCCTTAACATTGGTTTAGTCTAGTTGGGGACGTTTATTGCATCTCTCTTTTCCTGATTTCCTGTCATCTCTCTACTGGTACTATCTAATAAAGGCTCCAAAATGTAAACAAACTTTAGGGCATCACCCGAGTTAACAGACTTCGTCCTCTAGGGAACATGAATGTTGGTACAAAATGTCATGACAATCCATTCAATAGTTTTTGAGATATTTCAGTCTGGACCATCAAGCTGACATTGCCATCTCTAAAACTTTAACCAATAGCATGGCTAAAAAGCTAAGCAGGACCAGTAGTAAGAGAATTGAATATATGGCTTTAATGCCTTTTAAAAATCACTTGCCACTTTACTATAAAAGTTTTTTTATTGACGTCTTCCCTTCCCTACAGGCCTCCTGGATAAGAAGCCATACAATATTACAATAACTCCCCTCTTTGGTGACAAGACAGGTCATGGCACACAAGTCTTTCAGATCTGCTCCAGAATCGGAGGTACATTATTCAAATTTTCTTAAGATTCTGAAAAAGTTTTTTCATGTTTTACATGCTAAAAACCTGATCCCTACAGATCCAGGGAATGTCAATATCAGCAATGTTGAGCCTTATGACAAAAGTGCCAGTGTGAGTTGGATTGTGGAGTCACGGGAGGCATGCAGTGGTGCTGTTGTCAACTACACCATCTTCTACTATACACAGAAGGGGCCACTGCTCAGTGAGTACACCACATACTTGTTTGCAAATTAATTAAAGATATTTATTTCCTCTTACGTTTTTATGGCATTTCTGTCATGGTTTTCTTCTAGATGTTACTGTAGATGGCACGAAGCAGGGCATCCTTTTGGAAGACCTGAATCCAGACACCCAATACAACGTTTATGTCAGGGCCACAGCTCTTACCGGAGCTACCAAAAGCACTGACAGGGTCTTTGAAACCAAAACATTTGGTAAGTAGTCTTCTTGTGTACATCAAACACACAGTTTACACACAATTGAATTTATTCCTAGCAACTGCAGCCCTTTAACAGAAGGTATAGGAGTGACAAGATAACAAGGTTAAAAGGCCTGTCCTCATAGAACTAGAACTCATAACTATTTTATTACACACATTTGTCTCCCTCTGATGAGTTTCAATAGGTTTAGAGTTGCACAGGCAAACACTTGCACCTCCTGCTATCGCACCAGTACAAAGTAACAGTGAAAATGTTGAAATCCTGAACTTGTCATGAACAGAACAGAACGATGGCAACACTTACAGTTGCCCCTGCATATCATAACGTGATTGGCCCGGGGAAGAGGTTTAAAAACGGTTCCCCTTCAGGAGTGGATTGTTGTGGCAAGTCAGGGGAAGCCTGTGGTTAGTGTGGTATTTACCTACCTTACTAACAACTGATAGGATTTCTTTATAAGCCTACAGTCAGTCAAGAGCAAACCTTTCTACAATATTTTGGCAGTTGGTACTGGTTGTGTTGCATGCATGCTTTGGCATGTCAGGTGGATGTGCAGCCTGCTGTGATGCACACAACAACTGCCTTACTTTCAAGAGTATGCTATTTGTTAAAGTTAAAGGAACACAGTCTCCCTCTTATTGACAAAAAGTTACTTCATAAGCAAATGCACAAAATGCCTAGTCCCATATACCCTTTTTAACTAAAACAATATTGTGAGTAACCCAGATGCCTTACACTCTGACATTGTTTTATAGCTACCAGTTGCTCAATACATCATTCATTGTCACGCCTCTCCCATCAGTGCGAAAGAAAGAGTATGTTTTATCCAGTAATACACTGCATGTAGAGTTTTCAATAAGTAAGTCATTTTTCATGTTGCAACATATATCATTTTTTCTTTAACAGATCCGAGGCTCATGACACTACTCAGTGTCTGCGGATCCATCACTATATTTCTTGTGTTATCTCTTGGATTATGGTGTGCTATTCAGTAAGTCTCAATCTTTTCTTGTCAGTGATGAAGTGATAAGACAGTGAAACAATTTCCATGTGACATAAAATTTCCCTGTCAACAATAATAAAAGCCATATTGTGCTACATTTCAAAATCTTGAAAATTGTGTCCTAATGGTGCTGATAATCTGCTTTCTAGGTGGAAGAAATTCAAGGAGAAGCCAGTGCCAAACCCTGGCCTCAGTTCTGTGGCGTTGTGGCCATCGGCAAGCAGTCAAAAGGTGAACTCAGCGAGGAAGGAATTAAAAGGAATTTATTCATTCATTTTTAAGTGTCTGAGGCAGTGAGATGATTCACTTCTAGTTTATTTGTGGTCAGGGAGGAAAATATGAAAAAGGCATTGCTTCATTCAGGTGATGAACAAACAGAGGGATAGAGAAAGTGCCATGAACAGATTGGTGGCTTTTAGGGAACAGACTAGGTTAGAAAAACGCAGTCTATATCAAAACCTTTGCAACAAGTAGCCTAACAAGTCTCTTAGTTGAATTCTCGTCGGCAGAATAAACACAGACCATAAGTACTAATGTTAATAGATTCTGAGAGACCCATGGGAAGTAACAGTAGCTAAGTATGGACTTTACCGGTTAAACTTTCAAAATAAAACGTTAACGTTGCGAAACATCACCATTTAGAAACTTAACGTTGTTAAAGTTGTGAAACGTTGCAATTTTGTTAGGTTTAGGCAACAAAAGCACTTGGTTTGGGTTAAAATAACTTCAGTCAGTTAACACATCAGTTGGGTAAATCTACTTGCGTAACTTACTCAATTTACATAACATATTTAACTTAAATAAATACATTTAGTGTTGACTTGTTACATACGGGAAATGAACACTGATCTCCTGGTTGAAAGTCTGGTTTCTGGCCCTTCATTCACCCCAAACACCTCCTGACTCAGGCTTTTCTTGTCATGATTCTGTTTTTATCTCCTGAAAAATCCACTAAATGATCTTACGTTTTCTAAAGGTAACACTTGTTCACCCTGTCTGTCTGTCTGTCTGTCTGTCTGTCTGTCTGTCTGTGTGTGTGTTGATATCTCCATAGGGAGCGTGCCCCTTCCAGCCATTCAGTAATCCATCTGAAAGCCTTTGTGACATGGTTTACACAGAGGAAGCTCAGAGAACATCTACCTCTCCACTAGCTACAGACTGTAACGGGAACACAGCCAGTGAACAGACAGAGGAATACGTTGTAGCACCAGACCCCGTCAAATCTGTTGAGACACAGCATCCACCCTCTCCTGGAGAATCCACAGCACTGATTTTTTCAGAAAACAGCCCGACAAGCCCTTATCGAAGTCAGAGTTCTGTGGAAACTCACACCCTGAGGACCAGCAAACAATGTAAGCGAGTTCCAGTAAAACAGCAAGAAAAGGCTCTGACTGTTTATGTCACTCTGGACATGTTTGAACAAGGCCAGGGAAGGTGAAATGAAAACATTTTCCATTGTAATGTGTGGCAATATGTGTGGAATCAAAGTAAAGAAGAAAGATTGATGATTGTAGACTTCATCACCCAGGTAACAAAATGTAATGTTTTGTGTAAATATATGTACATTTTGCTACTGTTAATCCTTTATTGATACAAGCATATTTATAGCAAAATGTTGTGTGGAAGCTGTTATTATCAAGTCAACTTGATATCTTTCACACATCTACTGTGTTATATGGAGATATCTGTTTATCCCAATAGTTTTGGGTCTCATTTAATGCAAAGACAGAGCCCTTAAATAGAAATGACAATTATTTAATGATATATTGATTTTCTTTCTACAAAGCAATTAAATTGGGAAGTACAGTGCTTTTGTATAAAATAGGGCAAAACTGCACTCAACAAGCTGCCTACAGGTATAATCTAATGCATCATCACAAATCTTATTTCACGTTTATCTATTAAATGGTTAAAAATCTCTTCATTACCAAAGGACACTACAACATTTCATAAATATACGTTAAATTACTTTTTTGAACAAGTAACACCAACAACAAACATGGCCGGGGGTTCTGAAGCAGAAAATCACAATATTAAACAAATGTACTGCTTGTAATCAATTTCAAAGAGAAATGATTATATGGCCTGTGATTAGAGTATACATTTATGGATATACATCTTAACTAACAGTAAAATCAGATTAGTAATGTAGTTAATTCATAAAACCCCAGGTATATGCTGGGGGAAATCTGTCATTGTAGAAAAGATTTTGGAGGATAATGCAGATGAATGTACATAATGTACTGTATGTACAAATATATTTTTACCTGTCTTTGTTCAGCTTTGTTGTCCTTGTTTTAGCTGTATGGCTATTTTGTATTCCTGTATAATGTTCTGCATGTAAGTACATTGAAAGCAACTTAAACCCAGAGTCACATTTCTTGTACATGCACACTAATATGCCAATAAAGCTAGTCTGATTCTGGTCCTATAAGACAGTGGTTCTCAAACTTTTTCACATCAATGACACCTTAACACAAATTAGATTTCATAAGATTATGTCCCAGGTTCCTCGATCTGATAGGATATTTGCTTTGTTTTATTACAGTATGAAACCCATGACCAACATAATCAACAACAGAATAATAGGGCACAAATATAAAGAAAATGGGTATCGTGTTACAAATACCAAAAGACAAAGAAAAAATATATTTAAATTTTTACATATTTTAACTATTTTGAATGGTTTACTATTCTTTAAACCAAATAAAGTTTCAATATAATGTTTGGTTTCTATCTTCAAATGTGGTAACTGTGGTTTCTTTTTAGACCATTTCCACTTGTGAATCTAATATTTTCCATATAAAATAAAGAGGTTTAAAATATACTACTATTAATAGTTGAATCAGTCAGCATATTAAAGAAATGTTCTAAATCTAACCAAAATAATAAAATAAATTACAAATGGTTTCAGCCTCAGCATTGCAAAACACACACTTTTTTCCGATATCATTCCTGAACCTTGCGATCACCTGGTTCACACGATAAATCAAATGTATAATTTTAAATGTTTTGTATCCTTTCCTGGATATACCTGCAGGCGGCAGTGTGACGCAGTACGTCGTCTGAACTACAGACATTAACAACCCGAAGAAGAAGGGAAGCTACAGCTAGCACGTTTGGTGAATGTAATGACGCGGTGCTAGCTAATTGCTAACAATCTGGATTTAAGAAGAACAGACTGAAAAGATAACATCGTTTTTGGGATGCTGATCGGCCGTGAGTCGTAACAACCCATGTTTCGAGTAAATACCTGCCGGCCCGTCAGCATGTTGACCGGGCTTAAAGTTATTGGATGATTCTCCTGAATTAGTAGCTAAAGGGCCTTGAGTCCGCGGTACTTGGGTGAACGGCAGCCGGGGATCAACGTGGTCTGAGAGGGACCATCAAGCCACAGGCTAGCTGGTAATATTCACTGCACCAGAACCTCTCCTGAACATGTCACACACCGGACCCCCTCCTCGATGGCGGAATTGTCCCAGAAGAGGACAACCTGTGGCAGGTGAGGAAACAAAAGACGACATTACGTGAGATAAACCAGCTTAATTTACGGAGCTGTTCGCGCTTTTGCTGCTGCTAGCTACGTAACGTTAATGTAACGATGCTGCAATTTGTGTTCCTGGCAGAGCATGACTGGATAACGTTATATTTTCTAAAACGTTATGATTCGCTTTTTAATTTCCCACACGTCGTGCTACAACAAGAAACGTTGGGGCTTAGCTATTTTTGTCAATTTTCATTCACTCAAAAATTGCAAGGCTAGCATCACAACATAGTGACGTTAGCGAGCAGTGCTGTTCAAAATAACATTATTAAAATTCAAGCGATGGTTGGTATGAACTGGATAAGCCGACCGTACTGGAAGACACACCACAGTATATATGCTCACATGTTGTCGTAAGTGTACGAAGGCCAACTTAGCTTGTCATTTTGAATGGAGTTTGGTTTGACACTACATTCAGGCGCGCAGTGTTTAGCTAACTTGGCACCTGTGGCTGAAGCGCAACTCTTCGCAGACATGCGTGCTGTTTACCAGCTAATACGTTTATTACGTTTTGAACAAAAGATGAGTTTGTGGGCTGTATTTCGTTCATGTATTTCCTGTCGGGGAAAAAAGGACATTAAAAAGTAACTATTGCGTTGGCTAGGATCGCTGTCGAAGCATCACGTGTCAAAACAAACCGGAGCTGTAGCAGTACTTTGGTTGTGCATGTTGCTGTGTGGTGGTCGTTTTCCACTGAAACCATTGTAATGTTTACTTGGATCTCGCAAAGCTAGACCATCTTCAATTCACGTTTTTGCTTTATAGGAGTGCAGTAGTCTAGACCAGTGGTTTTAAACCTTTTCACATCAAGCACCCATAAACTGATGCAAATTATGGACCCCCATTTGATAAGATTTTGTCCCAGGGTCCCCCACCTGATAGGAATTTTGCTTTTAGATGTTTTAGTACAGAAAGTGAATGAAACCCATGACCCAAGTAGTCACACATACTGTCCTTGTGTCACTTAGGGACGGAATTATAACAAAAATAAAGTATTCCCTTTTTTTCCCCCCATTTTTTCTGGGGACCCACTGGCTCCCCGGAGCCCACTTTGAGAACCATGGATTTAGACAGGTATTCAGTTTCAAGGCACAGCTGGTGGCGGAGGCACTTTTAAATCCAAACATATTACTTTAAAGAAATTAGCAATAGTACACTCGGATGGGTCCAGAGTTTAATTGTATTCTAACCAAATTAGATATGCCAACAAATACTCTTTTGTGTGCAATTCCATGTTTACCACAGCACGTACTTCATCCTTGATTTGTACCTGCCCTGCTTTGTGACCACACCAAACCTGAAGTGATTAATCTGAATATTTAGTTTTGATTTGGTGTGATAAAGTGTGGTGATCATTGTAATTGTTGACACAACTTAACAGTGTATTAGACTGGGCTTTACAGAATTCAGTAATTAAAATAAGCATAAAATAATCATGTAAAGAAAAATAAAGCTTTTGGTGAACCAACTAATCATTTAATTGGCTTTCTAGAGTCCCTACCCAAAGTTTTATACTGAAGAACACTGATTCTGGTCATTCACTGATGATGGTCACTTGTATTTTCCCTCATAGGTAAATTCCTGCCAATGAAAACGATGTTGGGTCCCAGGTATGATGACCAAGTTGCAGAAGAGAACAGGTTTCACCCAAGCATGCTGTCCAACTATTTAAAAAGTCTTAAAGTAAGTAACTCCAAGAAGACTGAAATTCTGAAGGAACCTTTTCAAATTGCCCAACCTGTGTCTCACCATTCCTTTTGTGTCTTTCTTCAGGTGAAAATGTGTTTGCTTGTGGATTTGACGAACACTACTCGCTTTTATGACCGCAGCGAAATTGAAAAAGACGGCGTAAAATACATGAAACTTTCGTGTAAAGGGTATGTGTACATTTCACTGTCATGAGCTTAACTAATTGTAAATTGTAGTGATGTACTATGACCAATGTCGTCATGTTTGTTTTAGCCACGGAGAATGCCCTTCAAAAGAGACGACCACAATGTTCATCGGGCTCTGTGAACAATTCATTGAGAAGAATCCCACAGACTTGATAGGTAAGGAAACCACAGCTTAACAATTCAGGTCACATCAGTAACTAATTGTTTAATCATTTGTATTTTCTTAATTTCAGTTCTTACCTTTGTCAGTTTGCACTTGCATAAGAACATCTCCTTTCACAGATTTAATACTGTGTTTCTGAAGTACATGAGAGGAAACACTGCACTTAGCGATATGTTTGAACCTCTTTGATTGCAGGAGTGTTTCACCTTTGCTGATATGTTTATACCCAGTTTTTGAATATTTGAAATGATCAGTTCCTTCTGCTATGAAAACTGGACCAGATAGATTGTTTCGGATATTTTTTCTCACATAAGGGATATGAGCAAGATGTCAGAAATGAAAGCAGCCCTTGAAATATTTTTGAGCTCTACACATATTTAGAAGTAAAGAGTTTGTAAAGTTCAGTTTGTGTGGAGTATTAGAGAATAGTAGATTTCAAACATTTTCCCACTGACTCAAATGGCCACAGTTGTTCATTGAAAGAAAAGGATTGCATTAGCGTTCAATGTAGTTTAATGTCAACAGTTAAACATTTGAGTGGATCACTTTACAAATCTGAGGTAGAACATTCAAAACAATTTTGATAAAATCTTTTTCAACAAATATGCATGAATAAAATTAAGTAAAAGCTTTCAGTCCTTTTTCCTCAACAAAATAACCATCATAATAAAAAATTAAGTCCTAATTTGTGTGATTCAAGTGAACATTTATTGAACATTTCACTTGTCTTGAATGTTATTGAAAAAAATTATATCGCGGTAATTATTGTTACTCTTTTTTTTTTCCAGCCCTAAAAGAAATATGAAAGTAGAATTTCAAGGATGTTCAAACTGTAAATGAGTTTGCACCATGTGTAATTTACTGTTGACTGTTGGAACAGCTTTGCTTCAGCAATATTCATATACTCATTTAGATTTTGTTTTGATATTTTACCACCCCACAGTTTTTACTCCTTAGACCTTCACACTTCCATTTATTCCACTCAGTATGAAACACCTCAAAAACCTTGAATCTTAAGTGCGGGCACCTGGAACACCTCTGCTTTATTTCTAAAAACATTAAAACCGGCTCTCTTATTTTGCGTTAAAGACTAATGTTATAATGTGTCCTGTGAGAGGGTGTTGTTTGTACATTTCAAAGTATCCTTAAGGGTTTACTGTTGAGGAAACATAATATTCCTATAAAAAGTGTGCTTGCATACTCTGTAGTTCACAGTGACATATTATTTTATAATTTGCGGTGGCGTCTATGTAGTATCCTACAATTTCTGGCAGCGATGTGTCTTTTTTTTCAGCCTGTCCCTGACCACAAAAAAGACAATTACATTAACAATTACATTTCTATGATATGTAAGAGGAATATTAACTTAATTTATCTCCCAGGGGATATTGTTAATAAGGAGGGGAATAAAGTGAACTGTTATTGATCAACTGTTACTACTCTGTTACTGATGTGTAATTCAGACTACTTCTATTGAGTGTGAAATCTGGAAATTTAGATGGTTTTGTGAAACTACATTTTCAACTTATTGTAATGTTTGGCCGTAGAGTTCAGGACTGTACTGGCCCATTAGTAGCATTCCCTTATGTGTCCAGCAGAGAGCAGCCTTACTCTAACAATTAAACACTGCAAGTGGGGTTTTTATTTTAAAAGGTTCACACTTTTTTTTTTTCTTTCAGTAACCATGTTTATATTCATACAGTTATATATTATACTGTATTATAGTCTAAACATCAGACAGCTTCCCAGTAGTCAGTCTACTGATGGTCACAGTGCAGCTCCATGTAGCAGCTGGAACTTAAATGCCCCGCTCAAGGTTTGCACACCTGTCTCTGTTAAAAACTGGGAGACATATTCATATTTCCAAATGTGCATCACTTTCAATGCAACAGAAACAAAACAAAAACCGTGTCGTGCAAGTCACTGTTGTTGGTTTTAGAAGTGTGGGAGTCTGACATGAGAACCAGAACTCTTCTCCCACTGAACGCTGTGTAGGTGATTTCTAGGTGAAAGGACATCAGTAGACACCGCACCTAAATCTTGGCTAAATAAATGTGGTTTAAAATTGTGAAGGTGTCTCTATGTGGGCTTGTTTTTGAACTGTTGTTTCAACTGTATTACATTTTTACCTTCATGGAAATACTGTAGTTAGAGGTGCACTTGACATCACTCAGCTTATCGTTAGTCAGTATGTACTTAATAATAGGTAATTTATTTATTTATTCATTTCTGACAAATGAGCCATTCATTATGTTATGCTGACCGCACTGACGGTCTTCAAGAATGTGTAAATGGTTTCCAACACAGCTAGGAGACATATCTACATTGTAAGGCTGAACGATTTTGGGAAAAATATCTAATTGCGATCATTTTGACTGATATTGCAATTGCCATATGATTTAAGATATTGGAGGGAAGGATCATTTTGCATCATTATTCTCATTTTGATTAAGGTGTGATCTTAAGTTTGTACTTGATGTGTAGGCCAGGACGTTTCTGCAGCACGACAATATTTAATTTAAAATCGTATTTTGACATTTTGCGTTTAACAAACGCTGCCCCTCCTACGATTTGAAAATTGCAGTATAGGCCATATTGCGATTTCATGATTTTGATTCATCTTTCAGCCCTACGACAAAGTAAACCTTGCAACGCATTTAAATCTGATACATCAACCGGTATTGGCTTATTGCAGATACATCAGTGTATAACGGAAGTGATCAAACAAATCTAAAGGGTCTGTGTCAAGATTGTTTGTTAGAAAATTATGATTAGCAACTCAAATTTGGATATAAGTATCTGCCTCAGAATTCCTGTATTGTTGGACTGCAATTAAAATTGGTACCTTAAATTGACAAGGTTTATGAAACATTTATTTATTTTTTTTAGATAATTGTGCTAGCGTCAAATACACGTGTTAAAAAGAGGTGTATGTAGATCTCAATTCCCAAATAAACATTCAAGTTCTACCTCATTCAGGGTCTTAGGTTCTAGTTGTTGTTCTAGTGGAACAACAGCACTGTTTTTAAGCAGCTTTTTGTCACTTGCTTCGAATAATATTCTGCTGTGACATTGTGCCTTAAGGCAGCCTGTGGCCTTCTTTCCGAGGACACATGGATTTTGATGTTGCATTTTCACACTGGTGACAGCAGGGTGCTCTCTTATACCTCACTCTAGCAACTTGTCATAATCCTGTTCAGATCTTTTCTTTCCTTACGAACTGCTGCCCTGCTTGTAAATCAGATTGTTCGAACATCAGAGCAGAACGTGCGAACGTCATCTCAGCAACGTCCTGTCTTTAGCCAGCTGGCGATTAGGCTTTGTTGCCTCTGTGGTACACATGTCCAAATTAGACAGTTGGGCTGGTAAATGTGATCCCCATCCTCCATTTCATCTTCATTAGTGTTGGCGTCGCTAGGCAAACTTCCTTTGCTGGGGAAATATGAGAGTTTATTTTGTTTAGTTTGAACCCTGCTGTGCACCTGCTCGTTTGTCACTTTGTTAAAAACATTTTTTTAGCTGAACATGTTTTTGAAAAGGTGAATAAATATGGCTTAAATCGTCAGGGAGTCTTTCTTCCCAGGAAATCTAAAATAAAGACAGGTTTTCTTTATTTTAGAGTTTTCCTTTGCCCTTTTCATCTACTCTTTACCTCCCTGAACGTTTCATCAATCTCTGGGTCTGTGTGTGCAGTGGCTGGTGTTTGTCCAGCAGAGAGGGGGATTTGCTTGAGCTTTTGGAGTTTGTGACCTGATGCCCCCTCTAAAAAACATGGACTGAGCCTCACTACATCTCAAAAGAGGACTGCTATGTTATTGATGGGAGAGGGGAACGCGTGGATAAGATTGTGCTATTGAAATAATGACTCCACACTCACATTATGCTACATTAAATTGATTGCTGACTTTGTATTGAATTCTTCTATTTTTTTTTTTTTGTCCTGAAGGTGTTCACTGCACGCATGGCTTCAACCGGACAGGCTTTCTGATATGTGCATACCTGGTGGAGAAGATGGACTGGAGGTAAAGGCAAACACTCTAACTGCTGGGAGTGCAGTTTCACAGTCGTCACAATTGACAACACACCATACAACACGTAGCTCCCCCCCCCGTCATTACTCTGGTTTCAAAATCTCCGACCCCTGTCATTGTTTTTCATCCCGTCTTCCTGATAGCTTCTGCGTGTGTGACGGCACGGGAAGTTACACTGTCAGTGCAAATCAACTCGGGGTTAACAAAGAAGCAGGCTGGTTGGCAGTGACCGAGCGCATTACCCCCACGACAGAGGTGTTAAATAATTTACCACAGCCGAGCAGAGGGGGATGAGGAAGTGTCTTTAGTCAGGGGTGGAGCAGCAGTCTGAGAAAGAAGAATCCCTGGAAGCTGTAGACATGAAGGCGGGATAAAACCCTCCCGCCGCCTACTACTTCCTGTGTAATGAATATTCTGAGAGCATTTACAGCCCTCGTCCAGTATTATGTGTTGCAAAATAAGTTTACTGTCAAATGAGCAACACTGGTAAATTTTTTATATATATTTTTTTATTTTATTTTATTGGTATGGCTAGTTATTAAGAAGTGCTTGCCCTAAACCATAAAGTGAGTTATGAGTAGGCAACTAAAGATTATTTTTTATCCTCAAACTAGCTGGTTTTGAGTGACCCACAGTCCCTGAAACCCTAAAAAATTCTATTTAGAGCAGAAACAATTAGTTGAGTAATTAGTTGATAACATAATCTGTAGTATTTTGACAGTCAATTAATTGTTGAAGACAATCTTCAAGCAAAAATGCGAAAGCTCTCTGTCTTGTCAGCTTCTCCATTGTGAGGATTTGCCACTTTTCTGTGTTTATGTTAATGGAAATTTAATATCTTGAGTTTTGGACTGTTGGACAAAACAAAACATTTGCTGACTTTCAGAAAATTGTGATGGGGATTTCTCTCAGTTGTCATTATTTTTTAGACTAAACAATAAATCAAGAAAATAACTGTCAAATTATTATATAATGAAAATGATCCTTGATGATTCAGTTTACCGTAATGTTACAAAAGCAGCGAATTCTCACATTTGAGACCCTGAAATCATCAAATGTTGAGAATTGTTGCTTGAAAAATAACTTAAATGATCAATTATCAAAATAGTTGCACAGTAAAGACAAAAATAGTAAAGTTTAAAATAGGAAGTATATAAAAGGTATAAAACGATGCTAACAATAATTTAAAAAAAGCTTTTTAAAAGTTGCCCTTTTGTGTTTCCTGTGTCTTATCAGCGTCGAGGCAGCTGTGGCTGCTTTCAGCCAGGCCAGGGCCCCCGGGATCTACAAGGGAGACTACCTCAAAGAGCTTTTCCGTCGCTATGGTGACGAGGAGGACACACCCCCAGCCCCTGCACTCCCCGAGTGGTGCTTCGATGATGACGACGGGGAAGTGGACGATGACGGCAACGCTGTCGGCCAGGAATCGGGCCCCAGCTCGTCTGGGTCAGCGCCCGGCAAACGAAAGAAAGAGAAGCTAAAACTGGTAAGGCTTCCGGAGAGCTCCAGTAAATGGACTGTTAAGTAGAAAATCCGCTGGTCCCTCTCTGCACGACATAGATCTCATGCAGGGGGGATGTAGGGTCTAAAGGGAGGCTTCTCTTCTAAGCGATGAGAGTCGTGTTTAACTATATAAAATAATCCAGTAAATTAATGTTTAGAATTAGAGAACATGACATGTTCCATCTCCTCTGCTGCTGGCAAAGGCATCATTTTGATTAGATAAAAGCTGTCTCATCTTTATGTAAAGCTCTCATCAGTTCAGGTTGGGGAAATTAGAAGCGTTCATCAGAAGCGATCATCTCCAATTGCATATAATTAGGTTTTCTTCCGTTTACATCGAGCTGATGCTCTCATCCAGACAGATTTTGAGTAGTTAAAAGAAGCTTGAGTTTAAACGGTACCAACGACATTTCAAGCAGGCAGTGTAGATAAAGGCAACGGGAAGACAAAAACATCAGTGTTTAAACAGAAAGTATTTGTACAAATTACAATTACATCGGCCCAAATCTACAGACGGTGAATATTTATTCGTCACTGGTGTTACAGTGAATTTGCAATCAAGGCAAATGTAACAGTTGCTTTGTATGAGTTCAGTAGGCAAGTTTAGGGGAAGGAAGCCATTGAGAGAGCAGCAGACTGTGTGATTTCACTGTCATTAACGAGTACTGTCTCTTCATTGAGTGGCCTACCTCAGAGTCCAACTGGTTTGCGGTAGGGCTGCAGCTAATGACTATTTTCGTAGTCGACTAATCTGGTAATTATTTATTCAATTAGTCGACTAGTCACGATTATTTTTGTCACTTTACTTTAAACCTTTACTCATTACTAATAACTTTTATATTGCCAGTGTTGTGTTGGACAGATTTGTGCTGCGGCAGTGGTCTAAGTAACTGGGACCAGGCTCTATGGGTGTGACTGGCTGGCCGGCTCGCACTGCTAACCTCGCGGGCACTTGTGGAGCTTCTCAACCCCGAAAACGTTTGAACACATTTTCGATTCGCCATCAACTGCCAATATTCGAATCCTACACAGTTGATTTCTCGCCTCAAAACCGCTCAAAAGTGTATTTAGTGACGAAATAGTGTACAAAACTTGTAAAAACAAAAGCCGTTCTGCTGTTTGCATCTTTCTACTTTATTTTCTGCTTCTCACATGAATGCTGCTTCTTCGTGAGAAGTCTAACAGTCATGGCAGACAGTGGAAGCGATACTGCCCCCAGCACTTCCTGTAGTGCATTGCAGTTAGAAATAAACAACCAGAAATGTTCCTAATATGAAGATTGCTATCTCTCCCTTAAACGGCATCTATGCAACGATGCGTCGTCAATGAAATTTCACGTCAATTAATTTTTATAGTCGACGTCGTCGATTAAGTCGACTAATCGTTGCAGCCCTAGTTTGCGGCCAGTTGGCTGTCATGAAAAAAAACCTGTCTTAAAATCTGTTCAAAAGTAGAAGAATGGTGGCACACAGTCAAAAAACCCCGATCCCTCAGAGCTTTACATTTAATTAAAATTATGCTGTCTTTTTTTTACCCCTCCGAGTGATACAATCTGCTTGGATTAAGCACTTACGAGTTTTGATGTGAAATGTAGAAACACTGCTCTGTTATAGTGGATAGTACATGCTTAGATTAATCAATGATGGGCTTCAAGGGAGGGAAGCACATGTGGCTACAGTTTGTGTTGGGAAAGTTTCCTTGTCCTGAAGGGTTCGAGATATTTGAGGTGGGAGTCAAAGGAATCAGATTTCTGGAGGAGTAGCAGCAGCAGCAGTCCCCTGTCTTTGTCTACACAGGATGCATTCAGGCACAGTACTTGGCGTAGGTCACCCCTGTTTTGGCAGTGCTCGGGGCCCAACACACAATCTCTGTAGTCTCGTGAGTAAAACAGACTTGTGTAAAAAAAAAAATTTTTTAAAAATGCTTAAAGTGTAGACAGGTTATTACACATTAAGACTTGGGTCTCATATAAACAGTAGAACACAGTTAATTTCTTTGAAAATCAGTTTGATTATTTTGTGTGGGTTTGGATACATTTGTTCTCATAATATGCACGAATGTTTTTAACGATAGTGTGATAATGATTTCATCCATGTCACCCAGCCCCGTCTTCACCAAGGTGATCCAGATTTTAAAAACACTGTTGTTGTTGATTTCTCTCCTCACTGCAGCCATTCATACACCAATGTATGCGCTAATGGTACTTAGGGTAACACATATTATCATACCACATCAGTTTCTGTTGTAATAGCATATACTAGCATATTATACCAGTTAGCAAGACTTGGCAGCATAAGAGGGAAAAGGTCATGTCAAAAGAGAAATAAGTGAGATGAAGTGAATGAGCAAGAATCATTCTTAGTTGAAAAAGGAGCGAGGCAGATATCATTCACATGGTTAAAAGGGAGTTTTTCCTTGCCATTGTCGCCAAGTGCTCACTCATGGTGGGAATTGTTGGGTCTCTGTATAGACACACACACACAAACACAATAGGCACTGACTACAGTAGGGATGGACCGATATGTTGTTTTCCGGGCTGATCCCGATTATTAGTAACCAGTTAGACCGATTTGTGGAACCGATATGCATTGGCTGTAAAATATTTTATCTTGATGTCAAAATTTGGAATTACACAAACTCCAACACAAAACTTTGTTGAAAATAACAAGATTAAAGTTAATTGTCATGTTTAATCTTTATAAATAGTAAATTAAATGAATTAGAGATCCATCCCAGAGATTGACTTGTTTAACTATGAGTGATAAATTATCATAAACTTTGTCTTTACCTGCTGCCATTTATAAACAGGCTACAGACAGAGGGGTTTAGCTTGTTTATAACTAACTAGTAGCCGAGCTAGCACATGTGCTTGTGTAAAAGCAAAACACAGCTGCGGTGGATGAGACAAAGCAAATTAAAATATTGCTTGGTACAAGTTCCTGCTTGTTGTACTGATGCAGTATCAGCCTTTTACTAGTAGCACTAGTATTTTTTTTAATTAATTAATTATATCGGCTATCTGTTTTTAAAATGACCGATGCAAATTATTGAAAACTGCTGAATATCGGCGCTGATAATCGGCCAGGCTGATTATTGGTTGACCCCTAGAGTACAGGCTAGACCTGCTTTATATTAAAAGTGAAATGAGAATATCTTCTGTTATGAATTGGCGCTATATAAATAAAATTGAATTTAAATTTAATAGATAGGAGATGATGCATAAAGGAGTGTAAGGGTGACTGTAGTGAGGGGGCGAGGAGCGAGGCATCAGTAGAGTTGAAGCAGAGGAGCAGGGTTTATGTGGTGGATTCATAAAATAATTAAAGTGAGAAGGGTTTTCAAAGCGGAGATGTCAAAAGGAAATGTGAATTCATAATATATCTAGCTGTTGTCTATGCACACGGTGATTCACAAAGCAAATAAGGTACGAGGTAGATTTATTTAGCATTTTACAACACCGGGTTGTATAGTGAGATGAAGTTCCCTTTATGCTACTCACAAATAGCAAATGTTACATAAAAATTTTTTTACACTAGAATAAGAAAAAGCAGCTGTTTGGAAAGTATCGCCGGAATTTGAATTCAATCCAAGTTCAACCTTCTGTTTTCTCTCTTGTTTTTCCTCCCAGGGTGCAGTATTCCTTGAAGGCATCACAGTGAAAGGCGTCACACAGGTCACCACACAACCCAAACTAGGAGATATCCAAAGAAAGTGTCAGGAGATGGCTGAGTGGGACAAGTAAGAACCACCTTTCACTCTCCTCATACCCCTCTGGGAAACTGTGTGGGTGTCTACGTACACACGTGTGAGTGCGTACTGTACAGTGATGGGAGTGACTCATTCGTCGTAAATCACCTTTTTTTTAAGATCTTGACACTTTCCGACAGGAGGCAGGAAGTCAGGAATAGATTTTTCCTTTCTGGAGAAATATGCAGCTGCAGCTCGACAGCTGCGTCTTGTCACAGCAGAAGGAACAGTCCACGCTGCTATTTCCAAAGTTGTTGTTTTTCTATTATACCTGCGACTGCTAATGGACGGTTATGCTGACAACATCAAATTAAGGAATTTTGGGATAGTATTCCTAAAAATCTTCAATGAGTTAAAGATGGATATAGTTACTAAGTGATCCTCATCTGTAGAGGAGGTCCTATAAAGTGTTAATATAAAGTGTTATCATTTACACAAAAGTTCATGTATTTTATATGATTTTCAATGTTATGTTCTTATTGTATTTATGCTGAATCTATCATTTCATGAACTTTTTCATGTTGTATTAGGAGTATTGATATTGGGACAGACCATGTATCTTTGTCTTTTTTTGACTTTTGTCGTTGGTTGTAGGTTTTATATTATATATAAAGTACATGTGTTTGTGAGGGTTGGGTGTGAAAATAGATTAATACTAGTGGTCAGAGTGGTGAGAGTCTGGTGATCGAATTAATCAGTTAGAAGCACAAATATAACACGTGTGTGTTCATTCTTGTTGCAGGTCTGGTTTTCCTGGTGCTCAGCCTGTGTCCATGGACAGGCAAAACCTTCGGTTCCTGGAACAGAATCCATACAAAGTCAGCTGGAAAGCCGATGGCACACGGTGGGTCTATTGTTCATGGGATTTCTTTTACAATAAAACATAGACTCCTCGTCCAATACAGGTATAATTCTTTGCGTCTCTGACCAGACCGATTGGCTTCTCCTCCCATTCATTAGGCTCTTTTTGGAGAGTCGAGATGTATACATGAACCACAGTGGTGACTGTATAGCAGATGTGGACTGTGGTATGGTAAAATGGCTTCATTGATGGAGCCACAGACTAAACAGGAGGATTGTGTCCGCTGCGGAATAGGAAATATAATAGCTCTTTTTCTTTCCTGTCACATTTTGGATTGAAAGTGTTGTTTGCTCTTGTTGTATGGCTCTGTTGCCAAAAGCTAATATTAAGGGGCTGGAGGGGGATTTTAGTATTCCAGTAGTCTGCTATGAAGCACTACATCTCTCGCTGGTGCAAATGTGCAGTGTGGTGGTGAATATTTAATGACTGCTGTCAATTTTACATATCGGTGCTTTAATTTCCTGTAAGAGTGAGACTACAGAGTACAGATCTGGCCCACGACCAAGATGTGTGTAATCGACTGCCGTCATCTGCTAGTGCTTGAAAGTGTCTTTACTAAGTTTTGCTCTTAAATTTGTATAGAGAGCGATACTGAGCTTGTCTTCTCCTGCCTCGAGCACTTGTCCTTCACCCCATTTTTCCCTTCAGCTACTTGAAGAGGCTTTCTTTAGACACAAGAAACAGACAGTGACACATCTTATGCTAGATATGAGATCTCGCTCATATCGTAGCAAAATAGGATACTACTACTTTGTCTTTAAATTTTAACATTAACGCAGCAAAATGCACAGATAGCCTTATTACAAAAACATAGAGACTAACCTTATCATGCGATAAAGTAAATCTTTTTTTTAACCTTGTTTTTATTTTCTTTTTTTTACCCTGGAATTCCATTATTTAACAAAGCTGTCAACCTCAAAACAAGAAACACATGAAATGAAATGTTCTAGTTATTTTTGTTAATCTAATAATCAGAATTTCTCCATAAATCTGTTGATACACAGACCGACAGCATAAGCTGCCTGATCCGTTTGTGCCTTTCAAGAATAAGGCTATAAATCCTGATAAGAGTCCCCAAGTGCTGTATTTACTCCTGTTTGCGAAACTTATACTTAAAACTACTCTGCAACTACTCTGGGTTATCACTGCATATTCTTGCTGAATCTCCTTCTGAGTGTAATAAAATATTAATGACTCTGATCGTTCATAAAATATATACTTCGATTATTTTATCACCATTGATGAACCCCACAAAGGATATTATAGCGTTTAAAAGCATTATTTGGAGGCACGCATGCAAAACTCGGCATAACACCGGATATTCCCATAACGGAGACATGGCTGGCAACTTTCCCGCTTGAAACACATTTCTGAGGACCTCTCTCCATTTTTTTTCTAAGATCAGTGGCCATTGGGTTCATGCGACAGGTTTTGTTTATGGTTTGGAATCAACTGGCCGAAGCCTGATTTATTTGCTTCAAACCAGCTGATGGAAAGGTACATATTCAGCTTTTTTCTTTTTGCAACATTTCAAAAGTACGCTTAAAATTCACATGACCATTAGATGGAAACATGGCTGTTGTTGTTTTTGTAGACAAATTTGAATTCTTATCCTAGATGTAGTCCTGACTTGTTTTTCTAAGCTAGTATTGGAGTATACTCAGCCACCATAATAATTTAGAGTTTATTCTCACGGGAACATATTGTGCTTGAGGCTAATTGAAATTTATTAATCCTAGGTGTAATTCAATCAGTCCCGTGTGTGTGTGTGTGTGTGTGTGTGTGTGTCTAACATTGGCGTTGAGAGGGTATTGATACACTCTGTGATTTCATACCTCCTCCTGCCTTGACCCACTTTTTCTTGAGAGCAAATAAAGTCAGATTTGAATTAAACATCAGCGTATTTGTCAATATAAGAAGGTCTGGGCTTTATACCTTGGTCGTCCCAGGCCTTTCTGTGTGTAGTCAGCATGTTCTCCCTGTGTCTGCCTGGGCGCTCTCCGGGTGCTCCAGCTTCCTCCCACCATCCAAAGACATGCAGGTTAATTGGTGACTGTAAATTGCTCTTAGGTGTGGGTGTGAATGTGAATGTTAGTGGTTGTACGTTTCTGTTTGCCCTGTGATGGACTGGCGACCTGTCCAGGCTGTACCTCTCGCCAAATGTCAGCTAGGATTGGCTCCAGCCCCCCCGCGACCCTGCACTGATAAGCAGGTATAGATAATGGATGGATGGACGTATTTGTCATTATCATACATAATGTTAGTGCTGCCCTAATACATGCAACCCTTCCTGCCAGTCGGTATTCTTCTTGACTGCTGAAACTGATTTCCAGACAGTTGGAGGACTTTATAAAAAGAGGAAACTTGGAGATGTGCTGTGCAGTAAAACTTCACTATGTCATATAAACAACAGTAAGCCATAACAACATAGAAAGTGTTGTCGCATCAATGGTTTTTGGATTCATATACACGAATATATTTTTCAGGAGCTGTAAAACAACGCTGCATCCTATCTTACAATATAGATACATTTCCAACTCCTGAGAGAATATGTGCAAGTTCTTTAAGTTTGTTGACTCGATGACAGAAAGTTGGAGTTGCTGTTCATTTCCTCCTATGTGCAAACAACGGAGATCAGAACGTCAACCTCAGCATATTTACATTGCAAAAGGTTTGACTTGGTAGACAATAAACTTGTTTCTGTTTTGTCAGGATTGTGCCAGTTTTTTTAAATTGACACAGCGACTGTGCCGTATGTCAGAGGCTAAAGGAATTTGCAGAAAGGATAGATGCAGGGCTGTTGGGTGATTATTAGTGATAGATCGATTAATCTTTCTGATATCTGGTATTTTGAGATAATAGACATTGGCCAATGCGGATACTCAACAAAGCCAATATACAACAAGTATCTGCAGGCAGCCTTGTCAGCATTTCTCCCATCCTAAATGACAGCAAATCTAAAACCATTACTGGCTAGTGTTAAATAATTATTGTTATACTGTTGAGAATAATGCAGTTGAATGATGTCCCCTCTGACAAACTCCCTTAAACACCAATCACCTTCAGAAATCCACAACAAAATGTTACTGGCTAAGAAAATATATATATATATATATATATATATATAAAGATTGTACTCTGCATGCAATAATGGAATTATACAAAAAATGTGGCTATTCACACAATTGTAGCCTTGCTGTTGCATGCAGGTAATAAGTTTGTGCCAAAGCTTGCATTTGATAGTGAGGAGTCTTTTATTCTGTCTGCGAGGGACAGCCTGTTGCTCCCTGCTGCTTCTCTGATATTACTTTATTCTGCTGAACTGAGAAATGGATCACAGCTTCTTTTTTTTTTTTTTTTTTTTTTTTTAATAAAGTGGGCTACCTTTCTAGTGCCTTGCCTGAACCACTATGCTGTTAAAATTATGCAGAAAATAGCCACATCTTTTATGTAAGTTTGGCTTTTGTGTGAAATTCAATTTCCACAAAAGAAGTGGTGATGATGAGAGACAGTTTGGTTAAGAAATCCATCAGATTTTTTTAATGATTAAAATTCCACAGGTGTGGCTCTGGACAAAAACGGACAACAAACAGCCGCATTAAAGCCAAGACAGAAGGATGTGTGCTCAGTGGATATAAGCAGACACTATAAAAGAAGATTCACACTTTTAATCAGTATTTTTTTTGGCTCTATTAATCCTCAAATCTCTCTGATGATTAAAAAAAAGTATGAATTCTGAAAAAAAAATCTGTTGTAATATGTGGAGGGCTTGCACTGCATCAGATAAGATTAATGAGTTTTGAGGTTCTGTAGATTTTCAGTGAGATTTCTTGATTTCAGTGGTGCAGTGTGATCTTAATTTGTCATTCTCCTCATGCATTGCATGGAGTGTGCAGAGAATTTCTTATTAGGTGTCCTACTTTCTAGGCAGTGGCATGTTTAAGACCTGAAATGGATTTTTAATAGGAAATTTACCATTTCAAGGTGGTCCGGAAAGATTTTTCTCTTTGCATATTGCCAGAGGTTCTCATTTAAGTATTACATATTCTAAATCCTTCCAGCTTATCCTTTGTTACTTGGGTGATGATAAGAGTTTCCCATTCTAATGCAAGTCATTCTTACTTTAAAAATGAGTAATTTCCTTTTTTATTTCATACAAAAAGCAGGAAAGGGTTATTTGAGCAAATGTGTTTTCGACGACATCTAACGCTCTGACAGACTTCCCCTCAGTCCCACATGGGTTATTCTGCAGCCTCTTCTTATGGCCACGGAGCAATGCATCAACAATTCTGACAGCCTAACTGCCTTGCTCAGTTGCACAAATAACAGACAGTATGGTGACAAAGTACTAAACCAACCCCCTCTCACCTAAAATATTATGCTGCAGACCAGTCATACAGTGAAATAACTGCCTGCTTTCTGCCAAGAAGGTGTCTTCTAATGGGCTTTCCAAAGGACAGCACATCAGTGGATTTGCCAAGAGGAGAGGCATAGGATGAGTTGGGTTTTTAATCAACTTGTTGTAGAGCCTTCTGTCAGGGCTAGATTGGTTTGCGCCCCAGAGAGGAAGAGGAGGAGGGAGAGGGGCCAATTACGTCCATGGGACTTTAAACAAACAATGCTGCTCAGCTTGGACTTTATTAGAGAGATTGGACTTGAGAAAGACTTGAACTTTTTTAATTTTCTACTCCAAGTCCTACTGTCTCCCTAACTACCACTTCAGTCACTCTTTTCTTTGATGTGCCAGATTAGATGTTTGAGTCAAAGAGAGTTTAATATGGCTGTTTTCTGTTTATTGGCTGTTTATTACTTGTGTTTTATGGTCTCTGTTAATTTATGTTGTCTAGAACCCTGCTTAGTGGATGACGCGTGCACACCAGACTGCACCAAAACTCTGTCATCCTCTCAGGGTAGTATTGTTACTAAAACATTGGGCTGCTTATTGCGACTTTGTGCATAAGTGGCTCCAAACAGTAACAGGT